GGAAAAACGGAGCGAGTTAATGATCTGAAATTTTGCACATAAGTTATTAGTATAGATCTACATCAAATAGAGTAATAATCTCAAAAAGATATTTCCAGAACGGTCATGTCAAAAAAGTTCAGTTGAGTCTCTTTAAACACCGTTTAAATGATTAAAAACATTTTATAGTGTGTCATTCTCTGGAGATATGTTTGTCTCTCTTTATTAAATATTTGTCTGAGAAAAGAAGAAAATAAAACTCTATAAACCGTGCTTGCACAAGTTATTGATGTTTTAAGTTATTTTCATCTGATTCATAAATGATTTATAAAATCCTTTTGTGCATTCCTGGTGCATGAAACATTAACTTTTTCATATAGTTAACATGAACAATAAAATAAAGAAATTCTATGACATAACAAATATTGGTTTGAAATATATGAAAATAATTGGGAAGTTCTAAATGCCAATAAATCGTTTTTCAAAAAGGAATGATTTTAAACTAAATTATCTATTGAAAATTGTTTATTGCAAAATGATGTCCATATCTACGGAGCCCCTAAGGTGACATTTTCGACACTTTTCCCCTGGCAATTAATTCGTTTTTACGAAATTTTAATTCGTTTTTACGAAAAAGTATTTCGAAATTACGAAAAATTATTTCGTTTTTACAATATATTAGTTCATTTTTACGAAATATCTATTCGTAATTACGAAATATAAATTCGTAATTACGGAATATTAATTCGTTTTACGAAATATTAATTCGTAATTATGAAATATTTTTTATTTTTACGAAATATTAATTCGTTTTTACGAAAAAATAATTCGTTTTTACGAAAAAACTTAATTCGTTATTACGAAAAAACTTAATTCGTTATTACGAAATATTTATTCGTCTTTAAGAAATCTTATTTAAGGTCATTGTAAGCTTAACAAAAACCTACTAATCTCACAAAGGTATCATTTCTAGCCTGGCTCAACCTTCCGATTATATGCATAATGGTTTTCAAGTTATTATATTTAAGTGAACAGGGTTTTTGAGTGAGAAAACATTCTCAATCCAAAATGGCCTCTTTTCTCCATTGTCAAATACATGTTCCTATCAGCAATGTTTTATTTTTTGAGGAAATTTATTTTTACTGACATGTTTCTTTAAAAAAAGAAACATGCTATATTATTACTATCTTTTGTCATATACATTAGTAAAACTAAAGTGACGAGGGGGCTACAGACTTTCACTAATCTAATTTTAAAAAGTGTATTTCCTTATAATTTATGTATGGGCACCGTGTGATTATAAAAACATAACATTTTATTTCATTTCTAGTAAAAGAAACAGAAAAAAATGTCCGTGTTTGGATTTGACCAGACCCCAACAAAACTTCACATGTATTATTACGGCTTTGACGGCAACGCTATTGCCAGGCGATTAATTTAATTGATATACAATAGTGTTAAGTTATAAATTTTGCGTAGAAAAATATCACTTATCTATATTACATTTTTGGAAAACAAAAATTTTCTCTCATAAATATATATCAAGGTTTCAAGGGGGGAACCTTTTAGTTTTTCCGGGGAAAAACCTTATTATAACTGCTACCATGACTCTTGAAACCCTAGACAAAATTTAATTCGTTTTTACGAAATATAATTTCTTATTTACGAATTATTAGTTCGTAAAAGCGAATTTAGTTCCGAGGAGAAAAGTGTGGAAAATGTCACCTTAGGGGCTCCGTATCCAAATTGAATGTTTAATATGTTACAAACATTAAAAAAATAGTTAGAGGTTTACCGACCCTAGTTGATCATTGATAAGAATAAGTTTTTCATAACTTTTTTCTTACCTAGATAGTATACAACATTTATTTTTCAAATATTAGAAAATTTCACCATTTCTTTTATTAATATTTTTAGTGTCACACCCTATCTTTGAATGTTCGCTTAATTTCAATCACCATGGTGTTATTATTAGCAGGAATTATTTTTGCACATGAAACATGTTTTTGTAGCAATTATCTCTGTCTTTGTTTTCATTTTGGACCTAACTTACCAAGTGACTGTTAGTTACAAGTACTCATTGTGTTTTACATTATTTTTTACAATAAATGCATGCTCCTAAAATAAACTCTCCTTTTAACAGGCTCAACCATGACATTTCTTTTCAAACAACTAATTAAACCAGTGTTCGTATGTTAACTTCTATAAAAATATCTTCATATCAAAACCCTTTCATTAGGGCGATTAGCGTCAATTAATATTAACTTCCCTTACCGGATGTGAAGTAAATTGGGGATAACCGCTTCAAATGTATGCTAATCGAAAGTTAAATGTGAACTACTGATCCTTCATTTTTGAATATGACTTTAAAAAATTGTTTTAAAAACATGTTTAAAAGTTATTATAATTTGATGCAATATTCTGTAAGTATTATTTTATAATGATTAATGTTATCTATATATTATTGTATCAAATGGAATTGTAGAAAAGTAAATGGTTACATTTTTGTTATAAAGAAAGTACCGTTATACACTCTAGCTGAGTGTTTTACTGAAGAACTAGAAATTTAAAACACATGATTTATTCAATTATCAATAGTGAAGTCTTTAATAGTATAACGATTGAAGTTGATAGTTTGTGTTCGTTTCTTTCTTTATATCAAACTTGTATATAATATAACGGTATTATATCAATCAAGGGGACCATATGATCCTTTTTCCATTTAGTAAAGTTGATATCAATTGCTTAAAACAAGATCCACACAAGGAAAAGAATGTCGATTCCTTGTGTGTATCTCATATATAAAAAAGAGTATAACGACATCGTTAAAATAGCTTTAATTATTTTTTGATCCCATCTGTATAAAACTAAACCTTAACACTTCAAATATGTTTTAAGGTCAGACAGAATTATCGATTTCTACAGTCAAGCCGATTGTTTCAACAATTATCCGAAATTAAGTGAATGTGAATTATTTATGCATATATTTATATATTTTATGAAGAATTCTCGCTTTCTATGTTCATTCAAACCGTTCTGCTGCTGATTTTTGTCATATGTCATTGCATTGTGTTTGAAATATATTTTTATTTACTGCCTCTGATGGGATGAAGTTGCTTAAAAGATAGAAACATTGCAAGGCTAAATAATACATTTATACGCGTTTTAGGATTAAACCGCCGGACTGTATTGACGTTCAACACTTTTGAATAGTTGGAATGCAAAAGAATAATTTGTCTCAGTGATTAAAATACCATCAAATTAAATTACAACTATAATGATAATATTCGATGTCAATCATATTTTGCTATTCTTATTTTGTTCACAAACTGTTTTTGGTTTTACATATTTAAGTAAGGATGGTGTGGAAATACACTATTCTACCACGTTTAAACGTGAATGCCGAGGGGAAATGGACATTATAGTCACTTTAGAAAGTATTGCACTCCCGGAATGTGTTCTGGAATGTGGAATGCGGCCGGAATGTGAAGCTTTGAGCTACATAAAACTTTTCAAGAAATGCAATCTATACTCTTCAGATGGACACGAAAGTGATAGAATTAAAGGAAGTTGTGTGGAGATTCGGGCAGCGGATATTATTGTCAAAAGGGTGAATAATTCCATGTTCCTACTTGTTTTACACAGTCAATATAAAATGATATTATAAATGATACTTCTATGTGAAAACATTTTGATTTTGATTATATCAAACATATTTATCTATTTAGTTTTCTTTAAATACGAAAGAGCTTCGCAAACTAAGTAAGACGTTCTCATGCATATGTCTTTTGTTCAATGCGGTCAGGTTATTGGTTACAGAGCGAAAATTTCCTGTACGTCATTATTGATTTTTAAAAGACAAAAGGATAAATAGATTGAACACTTGTTTTTGACTGGAAACATTTTTCTAGGTCAAGTCCTCATGACTGAAGCACCTTGTACAATTATGATCTTTCTTATTACAAACTACGATATTTAATTTACAATGTTTCTTTTATCATAAAACTATTCGTATATAATCTATATTTTGAATATTAATTTTCTCGCAATACGCCCGCGACGTTTTACAAAAAATTGTATTTATATAATAAGTGGAATTATATTCTGACGGGACGAATATTTGTTTCATAGAATTACAGAAGGGGTAAATTACATGGATGATATTTGTATTTGTGTGTAAGATAAAATTTTTATTGAATTGACTGGGCTTTTAAAACAGTATTCTCACGAGTGAAATAAAATATCTTCTCACACAACAAACAAATTTTCTTTTTATTTTATGCTTCAGAATAAGTTAAAACGAAATTTCCTAAATAAAAACTTTAATATCAAAATCTGTTTCCTCACTGGTAGCCTCATTTTAAGTTGAATTCATTAATACAAAAAGCATTGAGCTGAAAAATAAGTTCGACAATCTACGTTAAATGGTCATGATTTTATTTATTTTATTCCACAAAAACATGAATGATCGCTTGTTTTATAATAAAAACAAACAATTCTAATTGAAGAAATGATCAGATCGTCCGACATTATTTCCGTTTCTTACGGCGAATTTATATTATACTAGGCTTTGAGTAATTTAAGCGGCTGCCATATTTAAATGTTATGTATTTCACGGGAGGAAAATAATTGTAATTTATTCAGAGGGATATCATTTGAATTTGTTAGTCATACATCTTTTTATAAGAAAGATAATTTATTTGAGGATTGTTACAGAATATAAAAAATTGTTGACAGATGTGTGAACATTAAAAAGCGGCAACGCTGGGTTGTTTACTTATTCTTCGGGCTGATGACTGTCAAGTTTCCGTATTGCATGAGGCAGTTTTTGCTCGTGTGATTCTGAAATATGTCCAAATGTCATCAAAAGAAATTTTGCATGTGAAAATAAATGTATCTTTCAGATAGTAAAAATGAAAGAAAAAATTGATAGACAATAGTTGGTGATTGGTTAGTTAAATGAAATTTTTTTTATTTTAACTTATTTGCTTTCCTCTTAAACAGCCCTGACATTGTCAGAATTGTCAGCAAAATTTAAACTTAGGTACCAAATGCGGAAAATCTTTAAAAATAAGTCTCGTCATTGAACAGTGTGAAATTATATTTTAATAATGTTCACTATGAAATTATCTAATATAATTTTCATTGATAAATCAGTAATTCACTCCAAAGCATAAAATAAAATGTATTATATCTTTCAACAGAAACCTTGTTCAGAGTGTACTTCTGGTCAGAGATGTAATCCTGCAAAAGGGAAATGTGAAACCACAGGTAAAACCGTTTTAATATTGTGTAAAATTATTAACTCTGTTACTACTGTATATGTCACTGTATAGAGATTGTTAAATGAATTATTATTCAATACTAATTTTATTTATCGAGTTAATTGAAAGTAAATTTTTGTCGAAGAGTTCAATAAATCTAGTAATGAAGCTACAAAAATGCAGTCTTATCAAATTACCAAAAAAATAGAATTACTTATAGTAAAACAGTATCACCATTTCACTGACACACTAATATAGTAACTTTAACAGTTTCATTATGCTGTGCTATTGTAGCGCAAATGACGTCATGTCAAAATATATGCATGGGAAAAGTGTGTTCTCGTGCAAAACCGTTTTACAGAGTCGCAAGACCGACACGGGTATGTTATAAAGTACTTTTTATATATATTTATATATATAAATAAATGCACGGGAATGTAACAAAGCGATTGGATAAAAGTAATATTAATCTAGCGTATTAATATTTTGACGTGACGCCACTTGCCTTCTATACAAACATAGCGTTAAAGAGGGCTTATGTTAACGTTGCATTATAGCTGCATCAACGAAGAATGGCTCTTTTTAAATTGTTAACCGTTCTCATTTTGGACATGTGATCAATAGAGTTTTATATTCGTGTAAATTCAATACTAAATTTATTAATAAAACAATATCATGCAACTCGTTCAAAAACATTTTAGTATAAAATCTACTCTTATTCATTTCTATAAATTGCTGTCGTATTAGTGCTATGTTGTATGAAATCGTACAGTGCTTTATTTTGGTATGCTGTAACACACAATTAAATGTTTATTATTGGCAAGGCAATGTCTCGAAATTATCATTTCTTCACCAGCGTATTAAAAAATTCGGACTTGTAAACATGGTCTATGTTGACATGGTTGAGCAAAAGCCAAACACTTAATAAACAAAAAATCGAAGAGACGATAATTGCGCTTCGAAAAGGCCCCTGTAGATTTTTACTTTATCAATTAAGGTAACTTATTTCAGTTCTAAACAATAGGATAAAAGCAGAATTTTTTTAGTCCTTTGTGATTCACTTTCTGTTGGTTTGTTTGTTTGGTTTGGCGCACAAACACAGTTTAGGTCACGCCGAATCATGATGGAAGATTTTAACTAGCCTCGAGTGATGCAAGCTTCAAAGCAACACCAGCTATCAAAACCACCTCACCTGCTTGAGCTAAGAGATGCATAGACTCCAGTATTTGGAACTTATTAAATCGCCCATCACAATCAACGGTGGCTGCAATTTATAAGTCTCAACCATATACGGCAACCCTGCAATCAGTAGAGGCATCACGCACTATGAGACACGTTATTCATGCGTGTATAGATGTTAAATATGTTGCCAATGGGCACAAAATAATACCAGCAGTCGAAATGCGACGATCATTGAAACATATTCCAAATATTTTAGGATTTTAATAGGTGAATAAAAGTGCTAGTCCACGAAAAGCGGAAGTTGCTCCCAAAGTTATAAAATACGTCTGTCATTAACGGGTAAAACCAACTTAAATTGAATCTTGAAAGGGGATCAGAGGAAGCCTGCAAATCATAAATAAATTACAAAAAAAATCAAAAAGCACACATGATTATTTTAAGGGTGGTTAAATAGTACTTTATCCTAGAAACTGGTTGGATTTTCGTGGAGACAAACTATCAGGCAATTCTAGCAATCATAGCGACTGCCTTACGGTCTTAACTATTTTCTGTACAGAAACACCCTGGAGGCCGCCCCAAGCCATGCTATTTCCATATAAAAGTATTGCCGTTTCAGAATAACTATACCAGAACACCTTATTGATTGTGGAGTAAACTTACATTCAGTCTTTATGCAAACTGTAAATAATGCAATTTATGTGTTTTTACATCTGTAAATAATTGATTAATTCTACGATACTTTAAAACAGTACGACCATTTTGCAATGGGAAAGTTAACCTTAAAATGTTAATAATTAAAGCATAGGTAAAGGCTGTGCATACAACATCATAGTACACCATAAGCGGTTGAGCTAAAAAAATGTTTTGCATATTCGTCACAAGTAACTTTTTCGCGGAAATACACAATAGCAGCAATTTAAAAAGTGCACAATTATTTTCACAAAATAAAGTATTTAGATTTTAGAATAATAAAATCACCCAACTAAAAAATTAGAACAAGAAGTTCGTCAGACACAACATTTACGTCACGTTAAACTATCTTCAACGTTTAAAAATATAACATTTCTGACTCAATATTATCAGAAAGCTTATTTTTTTCAGAAAAAAAAATTTTTTTAATGACAAACTTACCCGTCAGATGCAGGAAGCAAAAATCAAAACGCTTTGATTTCGAGATTGAGTTGAGCCATAACAACTTCGCTTCCCAGCATTATTGCTTGCAAATTTGTTTCCCTGAAAAGAATCAACTCTAACAGATGTACAGGAAGAGAGAAAAAGTCTTAGGAGAGGCCGTAAAGGTTGCGCAGCAAGACAAAGTAGCCCAGCAAAAATACGTTGCACAGCAAGTCGTGGCTTTGCAGCAAGTCTATGTTGTACATTAAATCTTATACTTCAACAAATCTATGTTGTGCTTTAAGTCTTATACTGCAACAAATTAAATCTAGGTTATGCAGCAAGTCTAATATTGCAACACGTATAGGATGTTCAAAGGTTGCTTAGTAGGTCAAACGAACACAAGAAGTCTATGTTGTTAAACAGTCTATATTTGGAAGCAAATCCAATACTGCAACAAGTCCAAATAGCATAGCATGTCAAGATTGTGGCGTCCAGGCAGTGCAGCTAATGCTAAGTACATTAAATCTTATACTTCAACAAATCTATGTTGTACATTAAATCTTATACTGCAACAAGTCTATGTTGTGCTTTATGTCTTATACTGCAACAAATCTAGGTTGTCCAGAGGATGCTTAGTAGGTCAAACGAACACAGCAAATCTATGTTGTTAAACAGTCTATATTCGGAAGTAAATCCAATACTGCAACAAGTCCAAATAGCGTAGAAGTCTAGATTGTGGCGTCTAGACAGTGCAGCTAATGCTAAGAACGCAACAAAAAAACAAGAATAACGATCAACAAGGCGAAGGCAACGTTCACAGGACGCGGCCCCCGACACACTCAAGAAGGGCACACAGAAGGCACAGAAAAAACCTGGAGTGGACATAAGGGTGAAAACATGGGTGGGACATGTTATGTGAAATAATATTAACTAAAACGGGCTCATAAGGGAATTAAAAGGAAAGTGCTGTAAGGGTGAAAAGATGGGCTGGGGTTAAAAATATAGGAGAGGGGGGAAGTCCATGGAGCGCAGCAAGTCCAATATTGTTAATTAAAACTGTACAACACATACAATACTGGCGAAAGTCCTTCCAGTCCTGCAAGTCCAGAGGGGCGAGACTCAGACAATTATTCACAGTAATTCTTAAGTAATAATTATAAGCAAATAGACACTTTGTAAAAAAATACTTTATATTAAAACCTTATTCTTTATATAACAGAGTGTCCTGTCAAAGATCTGAAATATGGTATTGTCAGTGGAAACATAAGAACAGTTGGGAATCGTATGCAATTTACATGTAACGACGGAAACACGATTATTGGTGAAATAGAATGCCTCTCTGATGGGATCTGGAATATAACCGACAATCAATGCTCAAGTATGTAGATTTATACATTTGGTAATTTTCGAGTGTTTTTAAAGATTCAAAGGATAATAGAACTATTTATAATTATAAATATTATATAACCTTTCAAATATATGACACTTTTGCAATTATTAAAAAGTGTAACACATATTTGAATTTTTTATTTATAGAACTCCTGTTTGAAGCTATTCAAATAACACAAATAACACAAATAACAGAATGTCAGCTATAGAAAGCTGACATCTATAGAAAGCTAAAGATCCGTTGATTAAATGTTTTGTGTCATTTCAATAAACGGCAATATTCATTTTTTCTTCTCAATATTTTGATTTATTTAGCCGATGTGACAAATGTTGCTATTGGGGGAAGGACATACATGTCTAGCGTTTACAACGGCTACAATGGTTCGATGGGTGTGGACGGCAATTCAAATCAATTATGGTCAGGTCGCTCCTGCTTTCATACAAATAGTGACCTTCATTCGTGGTGGCGGGTAGATCTTGGAAAGATTTATCGCTGTTTTAGAGTAGTGTTGTACAACCGGTTGGATACTCGCAGTAGGTTACTTATCCATTTTTATATCATTTCTATTTACCTGTAAAATAACTTGATCCCTTCAACGGGCATTCTTTAATCACGTCAGTTCGAGCATAGAATGATCATGAAATCCGTTGAATATTTATACAAATGATTTTTAAAGTTGGCGCCTACATTGTCTAAAATAATCTGGTGATTTACTGGGGAACGAGCTTCAGATTTAGATTTGATGTTTGGGACGACGGAGAACAATATGTACATTGTGAGGCAAGTTGATGGTCAGATTGAGGACATCCATACTTTTAACTTCCCTGAAAGTAGAGAAGCACGATATGTTCAAGTGATGCTTAGACGACAACAGTACCTACATCTTTGTGAAGTACAAGTGTTTGGTTTTGCAAGTTAGTTATCTGCAATCATTTTCATGGATTTGAGTATAAAATTGGAGTTAATATATAGTCAGTTTATATTTTCGAAATGACAAAATTAATAAGTTTAGTTAATTAGTTTAATTAAATATGTTTATTCGTTTGTTTGTTTTTTCAGTTAACTTATAATTCAATTCCAAAGACAATCTTGGGCAGTAATAATACACGTGCTCCAATTTCAACAGTTTACACATTTGGAACGGAACAAGACTAAATTATTACACACGTTGGTAAAACATAAATGATCATTTTATAGAAAGACAAGGGCTATAAAACACAGGCGAGTGCACAGGACGCCATATTGATTTTTAAAGCAATGACAATACAGTTTGTATTACGTGACCAATAGGTACGAAAATAAATTATCACAGAAAGTGTAGACATAAGACAAGGTCCTGCGCTCACGATAATTAAAGGATCATAATCAAGATGACAATCGAAATATAAAAATCAAAATGTTTACATTGTTTATTCTTATAAATTTATTAAGCGATGCCTACTTGAGAAAGAGGACTTGAAATAGGATGTATATTGCATTTTAAGGAACATTTCTATTGTTATACCACAACTGTATCCCAAAATTAGTTTGTTTCTTTGCAAATCAAAATTTACATTCTCCTTATGAGCCATATATTATTTTAGCTTTTTAGCTTAATATGATATAGATCTATTGTAGTTTCATAATGTTATTTACAACAATTCTCTGGATATGTGAATGTGTTATAAGAGTAGAAGAAATTCCAGTGATATCTTCCCAGCTTGTAGAAGGCATTGATATTTTATATTGTCATCATTTTTTAGAATTTATAACTGAATTTTTTTTTGCCATGTTATGTTCACACTATGAAAAAAAAGTTTACATCTCATATTTGTTTCATTTTGATTTCCTTTTGGTTGCCGTTGTTTTTTTGGTGTTGCTACTGTCCCTTGTTGATCGTTAATCTCATATTTGTTGGTATCTATTGAACAGATATAACAATAAAACGATCGTGTATTGTCATTGTTATATGTAACATAACTTTGGAAAACATTTCTGAAACGTTGATACGAAAGCACACCTATTGAAACGACTTTACAACACGTCAACAAGAAAGGAAAACATAAAATCCAAATCAAATCTATATAGTTTCATTTATTGATGGAATTTATTACCCTGCATTTTTGTCTCTGTCCTGTTTTATATGGAACATATTATATAGTATTTCCTGTGTCATGTATTACATGGAATATATTACATTGCATATCCCTCTTATGTATGATATTCAGTATTATTCCGTTTTTGTTTTTTGTTTTTTTTATATTTCAATACCGGCGTGTCAAATTACTGAATTAATTATGATGTTTGCGATAATAATGTTCTATTATACAATACCTGAAAGAGGGTTATAAAATTTCAAAAGTATTTGCTGTTCCCGGAAACATAGTTAAAAGGAAATTGAAAATGAAAGTAAAACGTTTTCTGTCAATTCTCAATTCACTAGAAAGCAAAACAGATTTTTTAAATCATTTTTTTATGTATTACTTAATAAACATTTTGCAAAACATCGAATTGGTGAATGATGAAATTCAATGTACACTAAGTCTGTATGCTTTTAATCATTTCTAAATTAATAATTTGTTTGACAAATATAAGTGAGGTTGACGTAGGAATAAGTTATTATGTCACTTTTCAAAGAGAATGCTGTTAAGTGCAAACTACCGTCCACGCCCCTAGCACCGGCTTAAGGTATTACCATCCTAATGCATTACCTCCACTTTGAAGAGTATTCAAATAGGCTAGAACTACTGTTAACTACATGAAAATGAGGGCCGTGGGTTCAAGCCCCAGAAGGGTCAACGTTTTTTTTCTTTCTTTTTTTCTTTTAACATTATTTATGTATCTCTCAGGTCCCATGTGGAAAGAAAAAAGTGTTTAATTGTGTTTTGTTTTTTTAATTTATATAGGTATTTATTGGCTAAATTATGCTAAATCTAGTAATAAATAATGTACCTGATATTTTCAAAGTGTAATAAAATCAAAACTAGACGGTAAAAGTATTTCATATTTTACAAGATCAACCAATATACTTCCTTTAAAATTTAGGGAAACTTTGAAAACAGGCACTCATTTAGGTAAATTTTAAGGATTTTTTTTAAATCAGGCTCCCTAAGTAGAAAATTGGTCAGACACGTGGTAAAAATGGGTTGGGAAGGGTAACATCTTTATACAGATTTAATATATTTTAAGTAGAAACCATAATTTTGCTTATGCGGATTGTTAGCTGAATGGTACTATTTGTTTCTTACCAAAATAAATGGGAAAACATTTTTCATAAGAATGTTATTGCAGATTATTTAAAGGTTCCTCATTTCTAAAAAAAGGCCCTCATATCATCCTAGCTTGAGTTTAGAAAGAGACCATAACTTGATTTCCGTACGGTAAACTTTGTTTAAATTTTGCATACATGTGTATTTTAAGGTATATATCTGACCTATGATGTCAATTTTTAGTTCCTTATAGGGCCCATTAGGGTGGTAATAAGTTTAATAAGCCTTAATAAGCAAAAATCAACATTTACACTGAAAATGGTGAAATTTGAATTGTAATTGATGTTAAACCAATTCTTTGATAAGCAGAATACTATATAAAACAATCTTACATCAGAGGTTTTTTATGATAACATTTGAATCAATCTTTATTGTTTCATGACCCTTCACTTAATGACAAGCAGTAAAATATCATTGCTATTGCCCTACAACATATAAATGAACAAATACATGCTGTCAAAACCACTTTGAAGCTATTAACATAAAAGTTGACTTTGTATCACGCGTCATTAACTGACACCTATAGAATATATCCGGTTGAAAAAAATAATTCATAGTAAAATAGTTAAGTGAAATACATTGAAAAAGAACATAAATACCAAATAATAGGTTGTTGTTTTTGTTGTTTTTTTTTTTTTTTTTGGGGGGGGTTCTGATTTTTTTTATTTTTGGCGGGGGGGGGGGGGGTTATGATTTATATATGTAATTAATTTTTTTTTTCATTATTATTATTACATGTATTTTCATTTCATCTTATTCAATAGAGCATATTTAAAAAAAGTACAATTAACACGATATGCGTATACCGGTATATTCTATAGTCAAAGCTTCTATCAATTATGTACGATTCTTCATATTTTACTAATGAAAGAGAATAATAAACGCAATAAACGCGAGAATAATAAATGCTGTGTATTCTGTCATCCAGCGTAAGTTATGCGATTTAAAATGAAACAGAAGAAATACATACATATATATATTTAGGAAAGCTCTGGATGAAATGTTTATTCAGTGTTGACAGATGGCGTGTTTGTTTTGTTATATCTTTGTGACAGTAATGATAAATGGACTCGTGCTTGGGTTTATTGTTACAAATGAAGATAAAGGTGTAAAAATCAGTTATACAATCAAATTTAGAAATAAATGCCGAGGAGAGACTGACAAAATTGTAACATTACAAGATGTGCCACTTTCTGAATGTGCTATGGCATGTGGGTTGCGAAAAGCTTGTGCAGCTTTGAATTATAGGAGAATCTTTAAACTTTTTGATTTGTATTCCTCTGACGGAATTGAAACTGACAGGGTAAAAGGGAGTTGTGTAGAAATTTGGAAAACAGATATGTTCATCGAAAAGGTAGACATTCTTCTTTGCTCTCTAATTTTAAATTCTAAAAATCGCATGAAACATAAAAGTTGACTTACGACTGACATAAAAATTTCCTGTAATAAGTGGGTAGTCCATATCAAAATATGTTTTTTTATTAAATTAAACAATAAATATAGAATTTCCTCCGTCAAAATCAATCTCACAACGCGTGATGAATGTGTTTGCATTTTCTAGCGAAATAAAAGTAAAAGGCATTTAAGAATAAAATAATAAGAATAGAACTTTTATTTTTATTTGTTTTGTAGTCATTGGCAAACTTTCATTTTATGTTCAGCAGTTAAAATGGTATATGCATTTTGTAGATTCCGTAACGTACAGCTGACATTTAAGTCGGATAAGATGTGATAACACTTCGTAGAATTTAAAAAACTTACTCACATTGTTTATACGTATAAGCAAAAATAACATAAGACTCTCTTGTTTTCTTTTCACAACGCCACTGTGTTTTTTGTAATAGTTCAACAACTTTTTAGCAGCATTATGTAAAGGTAGATAATAATACTAAATAAATAAATACATGATACTAATAATAATAATAATAATAATAATAATAATAATTAATAATAATAATAATAATAATAATGATAATAATTATAATAGATAAATGAATAAATGATAATATATCTAATTTAAGAAGGCGACTCATGAAGATATACGATCTACAATGAAATAACAGGATAAATTAATTGCTACTATTCAGAAATATTAGTTTATAGCTTAAATCTTCTATTCAACTTGTTTTTCTTGATTTTCATATTTTTCGTTCAATTAGAACAATTTATATTAAAGTGATTGTTATTTATTGTCAATTTGTTTAGTTTCAAATAACTTTTAGTTAAGAGAAAATTTAAACTTAGTTCATTTAAAATGTGGTTAATTAAAAAAAAATATTTGTGTTTTATTTCCCTTTGCATTTAAATGATGGTGTCATCCTGAAAGTTAATACCCATTAAAGGGTACTCCTGAGCAAACTAAGATTACCAAAATCAAAATATTAGGTAATTAGAAAGAACATGCTATTTACTAAAAAGAACAAAAGGCTTTTTGAATTTTCAACACCACTACATACTATATTTTTACCATTATTCATATTTGGTAGCAACCTTGTCCAGATTGTGACAGAGAAATGACATGTGAGCCAAGCAGCAAAACATGTGAATCAACAGGTGGGCCATGGTTATGTGTTCAACATATTTTGTTTCTATTGGGTTTTCAATTCGGAAGCTTATTGTCTAAATTATTTTTAAAACTCAAATGCATACTGTTGATAAGTCAAATTATTTATTTTTATCTATTTGATAAATCAGGGAAAAGTGGAGAGGAAAAAATGAAGAAAAACGGTTTTGGTTCAGAATTTGGTCTCTCTTGCTAATTTTATTGCTGTATCATTTAAAGTGGCATTTCTTGACATTATGCGCATTTCTTCACTGTCTAGTTGAGAAGAGTTGAATTTGTAATATCAAATGACTGTATATATATTGATGGTGATTAACCAATAATTGATAATGAAAGTTTTTTTAAACACTAAAAAAATAAAATAATTACTTAAATTATGAATTGTTTTGAACAATTTAACGTTACAGAAATCGAATAAAATTATGGCAACATTTCAAGCTATTTTGACTTTTATAAGTGCACTCACCATTTACACTTGGACTGGCAAAATTTCAATTTTATATATTATTATGTATTGCTGTATTTGCTTTTAACTACAAAGAACTACTAATTTATTTTTTTATATATTGGTTTCCCATTTCAGAATGTTCCTTACAGACATTCATTCAACATGGGATGATTTTGGGAAATTTAAACGAAGTTGGGGCACGAAGGGAATATATATGCGATATTGGATACAAACTAAATAGTACAGATGAAAATTTGGTCTGTTTCCCTGACGGACATTGGAACAATAGTATGGAATCATGTATCCGTGAGTACACATTTTGTAACAGCAATTGGCAATGGATTAGTTCATAATTGAATACATGATAAAAACAATTATCAATTGTGTAAATCTAATATTGTGCATTTATAGGTAAATTTCTTGAGATTCTTTAATTATTCTTTTGTGACATTGTGGATTGAAATGTGCAACCAAAAATAACACGAATGATCTAGTGTATTTCAGAGCAAATGGTTCATGACAAATAAAGTCAGTTCATTCTTGTTTAACAAAAGTCTTGATCTAAAGAAAATAGTTATAACAAAATATCTACAAATATACGATGAATCAATGCAAAAGACCACAGATTATATCAAATAATGTTTTTTTATTATTATTATTCATTTGTGTTTCTCAAGATAAGTAAAACTGTGTCAATCTTATAAAGAGGTAGATGTCATGTTTAATGTTGTGTTACGCTTTTCTATTTTTTATTTATTTATTTATTTTTTTATTCTACATTTTTATAATGACTTTAAGGTAGACCATGGGTAATGCATTACCTCAATTTTGAAGAGTATTCAAATAGGCTTGAATCGTTTTTCAACTTCATTGAAATTGAGGGGCGTGGGTTCAAACCCCAGAAAGGGCAACCTTTTTTCTTTCATTTTTTCTTTTTAACATTATTTAAGTACCTCTCTGATCCCTTATGGAATAAAAAAGGGTTTAATTTAAATTAAATGATTATGGAAGGTATTTATTTGCTAAATAATGCCAAAATTTATAGCAAATATGATACCAGATATTTTCAAAGTTTGATAAAATAAAAAAATACATGGTAAAAGTATTTTATATTTCGCATGATCAACCATTATATCTTTAAAAAAAAACGACAAACAGCCCCTAATTGTGGTAAATTTTAGGGATATTTTGAATAAGACATTTTAGATAGGGAAATGGTAAAATTACTGTTTAAAGTGGGTATGGTATTGTAACATTTTTATACATATTTAGAACATTTTGTTTAGAAACAAACATTTTGCTTGTGTAATTTGTTACCTTAATATGATTATTTGTTTCGTATCAATGAGAAACATTTTTTATAATGATTATATTACAGATTATTTATAGTTTCCTTATTTCTGAAAATAAGCCCTTCTAATGGCAAAGTCTTAGTACAGATATATATCCTTTACTCATAAACCACACGGTAAATGTTATTTATATTTTGCATACAGGTGACCTTGAACATATATAAATGTCCTATGTTGTCAATTTTACATTTCCTAATGGTGCCAATTACGCATGGTCTACCTTAAATATTAATATAATTATTCAGTTGATGTATCAAATGTGGCAAGAGGAAAACCAACAAGCATGTCAAGTATTTATAAGACATACACATCAGATAAAGGTGTTGACGGTAATGTTAATCAGAGTTTTGAGGCAGACTCATGTTTTCATACTGGATTAGATCTAAACGCTTGGTGGCAGGTTGATCTTACTGAAATATACAGAATCACCAAAGTGGTTTTGTATAATAGATTGTTTACTGAAAACGGTAAGATGTTTTCGGAAACAAAATAGTATTTCTCATTCTCAGAAATAATGTTTTATGCAAAAAATCCAATTTTCTCTATACAGCAATAGTACTGTAACAAAATTAATAGTATAAAGTCATAAAGGAATTTGTCTTATAATCATGAATAAAACATAAAAAAACATTCTGACTTATTACACAATGTTTCTAATTATCTCAATTAAACACAAACAAATAAGCGCATTGTCAATATTGTTTTGTTTTTGTTTGTTTGTTAGCTTTTGGGGACAGTGTTTTGTTTTATTTCTTCTTCTTTTTTCTTTTTATCTATATTCAGCTAATCGAGCATCTGATTTGGATTTGTTATTTGGCACAACCTTGGATACCATCATAATTGTAAAGAAAGTCTTGGGGCAAATCAATGATATTCACTCATTTACTTTTACCGACGACGAAAAGGCACGCTATGTTAAAGTTATGCTTCAAAACCAAAACTTTCTTCATCTTTGCGAAGTGCAAGTATATGGATATGATGGTATAAATTCATACTGTTATTTCATGATTTTATTTGATTAGTTTGTTTCATACATTTGTGATATCTTTGATAGGGAATGATGTTGTACAATTATATATAAGAGTAGAGAATTAAAAAATAATTTTGATAATATTTAACATATAAAGTTTTGATTAATATGATATATGATATTTAATATCATAAGTATTTTTTCTTAACCAACATTCCCTGGTGATCATTAGTGTATTGCTATAGTGATCTTTTCTCAAAATAATCAAAATATATTACTATCAAGATAAATCTCTCGTGACGAAAAATGTACCAAAAGAGGGAACTCGAAATGTGTCGTTAATAAGCGAGAGTTGCTCATTTTCCATTTATTTATGACAATACTAGACATTCGTCTATATCTACAGATCTATAAGGGTTTGCCAAGAGCCCTGAAGCACCTTGATGTGGTTTTAACTATTTCTGTGTATTTTCTTTCTTTTTCAGTACTTCAACCGTCCAGATAAACTATTCGGCATAGGATTGACAGTTTTATTTTTTACTATAATAGAAATATCATAAATGTAAGCTTTTGTTTATTTAACTTTAAAATAGAATTGTCGTGTTAGTCAATAATTAAATAGCCTTCATTCACACTTGAAAGACAAATAATTAATTTACCAGTCACTGGCTTTCATATATAGTGATCGTTGTCTTTTGTTGTTTCATCCAACCAAGCTTCCTTTCAATTCAATCAATATTGAATAACTAATTGGATGTTTAATGATGTTATGCTTAACCATTTCTGAACGGTGTATTACTGTCAAGTATGTCAGGTCAAGTATGAAGACACAAGCGTACCAATACCAAAATAATATACAAGACAGTTGTAATCATATGTTACAGTAACAGTGAAAAATCTAAATGCGTGTCGCTCAATGAATACCGGATGTCATATTTAATGACTGGTGGAGACGCTGATAATAACGAATGATTTTGTAATGTTTATTTTCAAGTTATATTATGGCATAAAATCGGCTATTTTCCCCTCTTTTGCCCATGTTATAACTGGGCCAAAACCATGCGTTAATATAGTCACGCGCTCTTGTTATAGCCCGGTTTTACCTATGCGCAATACATGCAGGGCCCAGAAAACAAACAAAAAATGACGATTTGGCCTGTTTGCAAGAGTCATGCGCTCTTGTTATATTGGAATTATTAATTCGGGGGCTTCATTCGCATATTCAAGTACTTATGCCGGCAATACGGCGTATAGACATCGCCGCTTATCTTGGTTGTCGCCCTTTCTAAGAAACGGCGGTTGTCAATGTAAACAAATAGAATCTGTCATTCAGTTTAATCCCCCGATTAACTTACAAAAATGGAAAGTACAAAATGAATATAAGAAAACGTTGTTTTATTGACGTTGATAAATGTTCATCATGTTTCTTTGAGAGAATAATGTTTTATGCCTGATTTTTTTTAAACTTGCGTGCTTAAAAAACCGATTCTGAAATTGAATCTGATGTCCTACCGCCAATCTGTAACCATTCTAGGAATTTCTAAGGCGCCTGTTTTGTCTTTGGTAGAGTAATGTTATGTTTTTCTTAAGTTAATATATCTCCAAAGTTAAACTTTGTTAAATCAATTAAAATTCGAAATTTCGTTCGGTTCTCAAGTTGTTGGCCCCGGAAAAAATAAAACGCATACGTAAAACATGTAGAGTGGGATAAATACTGTTCAAGCACAAGGATTTAATGTTTGCGTTTCATATATAATATACATCATGAATCTGTTTTAAAATTTTATGCTATAATAGCGTCAACGCACGTTTATTTCGTGTTATAAAGTCTGCAGAGCCCCTCGGAACTGTTGGAGCCCTCGCCCTACCGGGCTCGGGCACCAACCGTTCCTCGGGACTCTGCAGACGTTATAACACGGAAAAACGTGCGTTAACCCTATACTAACAACAAACATTTTTATGTTTTTCATATTTTTTGTGTTTATAAGTTGTGTTGCTGTTGTTTTGTTTTCAGTTTTGTATTGCTTTCTTGTACGGGCGAACGGCTAATATCTAAATGCTGTATAAAGTCAGTATATATGTATGAAACAATATTTCTCGTTGCTAGTCTTACTAGTAATTGTTTAATCGGTGCCTTAAATCTAAGTTATAAGTCTACAGCCTTAACTCAGTTTGATAATTCTCACAACAATTGCAATGCGTAAACTGTAGCAAGACTATTCTTTTTCTATTGTTTTAAAAAAAGATTAAATCAATTTGGTTTTCAATTTCACTTTTGTGTATATACGTACAGTCCACAATTTCCTGCTGAAATTGTTGAAACAACGATTGGTTAGCATTTGCCACTGGCAAAGAGTCATTTAAGCATTTGCTTTCATGCTTACAGATATATTGAAGCACTTTTTGACCAGAAGAAAGTAAATTAAAGGGAGAGTGTAAATACATAAAAATATTTTATACTGTTATTGTATTCCTTTCACAATGTCGTTCGCTGTGTTCGTGAGTTTGACTAGAGGCAACTCATTTATGCAGAGCTACATAACCATTAATTTCAGAATAAATCAACACAACACTGCAACATTGCATCGCTGTTTTGTTGTCAATTGCTTATTAATGCTATGTTATTTTGCATTGTCATTATGTAATTTGAATTTTCGCTTTTTCATTTCGCGTTGTCTCTATGATGTTTGGCGCGGTCACTTTGCATTGGCGCATATCGTTCTGCGTTGTCGCATTGTCACATTGCATTGTGACAATGACAATTTTTTATTGCTGATTAGTAGTTTCGCAATATATAATTGTCATACGAATATCACTTGTCACGTCATATTGAAATAAGTTGACGTCTTAGATTCATTGACGATTAGCAAGAATACATCATACTCCTGCAAATAAAGATACTTTACATTTCAAACGTCTAGTCAAGTTGACTAAATGTTACTTATGATACTGCCTTTCGGTGTATAAACCCAAGAACCTTGGACATATGTGATATATTGTAAAATCTAAAAGGTATTGTGACGAGTATTTACTAGTTGATTTATTATAAACATGTCATGTTGTGTTTTTTTTTGCATTACTATGTCCTCATCTTACTTACCAATGGCAAAGGGAAGAACAAACAATATATGTGTACTCTAGCAAGTGACATATTTCCTTTAGAAAAGGGCCACATGTTTTGGTTGTTTTAGCTAGCATAAGTGTAATTGTAAAGCAAATATTTTTGTCGGTCTTGTGTCGTCTTATATATTCACAGCTCAACTATTTTTATGTAATGTCATTTTAATATGCTTGTATGAATGTATTTAAATTAAAAGTTAATCATTTGTATTGCGTTTTGTTCTTGCTATTTTATAGAGATGTAGATCATTACTACAATATCTAATAAACAAAACGCTTAGAAATATTCAAATGAATAATGACATCGATGCATAAGTTTGACAAAATAAGATAAACTATACAAAATAAGAAAGACTATTAACGCGGAGAAATCAAAGGTCGGGACCACGAAGCGTAACTTGCCCAGCTATAGACTACACGTGTATATTTAAAAGGAAATAAAACAATTAAAGAATATAATCTGGCCTTTCACTTCCACTTTATGTATAACTATTTACCCATAATCTGCTGGAACTGGAAATGAGTAGTTTCTTTAGCAAAAACCCGAATTGATTAGTTGTGTTAGCCAAATCCGGAAGTGATTAGTTTTGCTAGTAGAAACCAGAAATTGATAAAATTTACAAACACAATTTCAGCAGGTAAAGGTGGATAAGAAAAGCATTTTCAAAGTACATAATGGAAACGGTCATTTGTTGTCTAATGGTATGTCTCCCAATCCAGAGACTGTCGGCTTGAGTATACGTACCTACTCGTGTCGTCACCATGTTTCCTTGTAAAATAACATAATTAGAGGTGTTAGCTAGTGGTTAAGGTGTCTGCCTCCAAACCGAAAGATCATCACGTGATCATGTGTTCGAGCCCTACTCGGATCACGATCATGCTTATTTTCTTCATATGATAATAGTACTAGTTGGTTCCTGGAAGCGCACTGTTAACTGAATAATATAAGTTGCAAGAAGTTGTAGAGCTTAAATAAATGTCACCAAGTCTAATATTCATAATAAATTGGTGTTGGTTTTTGTTGGTGTTATCCAGATGTTTATTTATCCATATGTTTTAGTTAAGAATAGTACGACGGTATATGCTGACTGACATGATCATATTTCCATGGTAAAGTAAACAAACGATACAAATGCAAGTATTGTGTAACAATATTGACATGAGACATTTACATAGTCAATGACCTTTTGTAGGTAATTATCGGATTTCGAAGTAAATCTTAAAGGATTTTATAGTGGGAAAAAACGATATAAAAGGGTTTTTATGTTTTAATTTAACAACTCCCCCTGTTCCCTTTCCCTTCAAAAATGCCAAACCCTATTTCCGTGAAAAAAGATTTTAATTTTTTCCCATTTTAAAATTTAAAAATTATAAAGAACATTATCTTTAACATTTTCTATTTTTATTTCATTTTTATATTTTGCGAAACTGGACAATGTTTCTGCGAATGACGTTCACCCATTGTATACGGAAACTAACGAAAATACATCCGAAAATTAATTACCTTCAGGTCAATATTGCCAATTAACAATTTAATGTCCTATGATTCAGTATAACAATTAAAGGAAAAACGTATAAATGAAGCCAATTTAGTATATCTGGGTTCACAAAACAAATTACCTAATAAATATTGTTTTAACACATTAGTTCTACAAACAATTTGAAACATAAACTCGGTTAATATTCACAAATGATATGCATAAAACGAGCGTATTTATGTCATAACTGATCACAATACGCTCAGAAACAAATGTACTCATGTAAAAAAGCAACAAATCACACACAAAAGTTATTCCAAAGTATAACATTCATTAACTCAAATCAGAGTTATAATTCTAGCAAAATAAACAGCGATCTTGTTATCAATGATATTCAAATTGATGTGACCATATTTGGTCTCTTTAGACAAATAACGGCCTGATGCTTTGGGGTCTTTATCCTGCAGGTAAATTTCTGTTACCATGGGGTAACTAATGTAACGGCATGTTGTCGTCATCAACGATTAATCTCGACCATTAATCACGGGTAGCCGGTTGCATCCCGAACGTTGTACCGTCGCTAACTAAAAATGCCGGTTTGCAAGCGCACAAAGCATAAAAAATGAATAAATTATAAAATGCAAATTCAAGAATAAAATAGGAAATTCCAGATGTCCTTTTTTTCCGGGGGTCGAATACAGCAACTTTTTCACAAGCAAAAAATTTACATGCAGAGCCGAGAACGCTAAGAAAGAGTGTTGGGCTGACAAGGAGATCAATTCCCCCTATCTTTTAAACCCTCAAGACGAAAACGCATTGTGCCTGTCTGTTTGCGGATAATAGTCCTCTATCTTTTTATATGGGTTTATTTTCTAAAGATAATGATGAAATTTGTTGTTCTGAGTTATATGATGAATACATGTATACATAGAAGAATATAATTCTTATACTTTTAAATGGGTAAGTAATGCTGTCATTTTGCAGTTTATTATCCGGAATCAGTATAAGTGTCCTCAAATTGTCTAATACTGTTCAATAAAATGAATATACACGAAAACGTTTTTCTCCATATTCTTCATGCGTTAGTATGGTCTGTGCTTTTAATTGTTATTTAAAATGTAGTAGAAAAATACTTTCATGATATATGGTTTACCACCTGTTTCAATGAAGAAGATATGATCAATGACAAAATGGAGTGTAGTAAAATAACGCAAACATTTGGTTTTATGGGACAATTCGTTTCTTTATTAAGAATTTTCCATCATACAGAATATTGTTA